TCTTGATAGCGAACTTAACTCTGTTATCAGTCATGCTAATATACTTTTGATGGTAACCAAAATGTATTACGATAAACTAATCAAATGCCTCCATTTTTTCCCTACTATCTACATTCTCAATAAGTAACAATGTTATTTTATTATTTTCCTTGGTAATAAATGTTAATATTTTTGAGAACACAAGAAATGAAGTTATGTACCAATTTCTCAACAAAAATGCTTTTATGACTCGAATCATTACAAAATAAAAATACTGATATGGATTATTTTCACCCACCTTGTAAATCTAGTGTTAAGCAGAAAACAGTAAAAGCCTGTTATATGAAATATCAGATTTACAACTCTGCATTATGGTGATAGCACACAATACTGGCATAGAACTTATCAAACGTTAGGAGGGTCCGAATCGTTCCATTTCGATTCGGTATCTACTGTACCCCTTTGACTTCGGATTTTCCAGCGACGATTCCTTCCGATTCCTCAACAATGTTCGAGGCCTGCGCTCACCCGGCATTATATCATCCCTTAATATCGTCCCCCCGAGTAAATAGTTTCCAGTTTCCTGTCGTCGCCGCCTTCGGTCGCTATCTGCCATCAATTCTGAACATTCAGAGGGGTCGTAAGATAAACACCGGCGCGCGTACATCGTGGCTGGAACTCGCCGCCACCCGCGCCGTTGCCTGATGATTTTCTCACTTAAACCGCCCTGAAACTATATGGCCGCGCGAATGGCGCTCGTAAAGGGGGTTGCCAGTCGATGCCCTGCGTTGTCACCTACTGACGACGATGTACTCTCGCGATTTGAGAGGACATTCTCGTGTAACGAGGTAACAAGTAAGTGATTTTTATGAATTTTTCTTGTTGGTATTGCTGCCAATATGATAATATGAATATTTAAGGATGTAAAGAGCTTTAAATTTTTAATTTTTATTGAGTAATGCATAATGATTTCTTTAGTGACGTAAAAATATCTCTTAAAATTAGATAGTTTCCTATGTATTGCATCTTTCTCTGAGGAGAAGTCTGAAAGATTAATGTAGCTTCCGCTTTCGGAAGAGAAATGAACTTTCTTAGTCAAATAAACTTATCCTATATTATTGAAAAAGGTGTAATAAGTTTCTCCTGAGAAACGCTTTCGAAGTTTTGAATAAAGTTCCAGGAAACTTAATAATGAAAATCAATCTAAAAAATTCATGACGTTGGAAAATATTAATGAAAGTATCTTGAGATCAGTTGAGCTGCATAGTATCTCGTTGTAAGTAATTAAGTTTTTTGAAAAGACGAAGAAAAAGTATGTGGCACTATTTAAAAAAATACCAGTTACCTTAAAATTTTGTAAAAAAGAAACTTTCGAGGAAAAATTTCCCTGTGATTTTGATTCTAAAACAGTGTAACTTCATTCTAAAATGCCTTTTTATAGTTTCATGAATAATAAAGATTATAATATCTATAATGATTATATAATGTCAAAGATTATAATATCTATAATGATTATAATATATAATCATTATATCATATGAATCATAAGGGACAAAATAAGAAGCAGAGCACAAACATAACTAAACCTAGGACACAAACGCATTAAAAACCTTGATGTTACCTAAAAACCGAAATAGACACTACCTGAATACATCTGAATCACTGTGCTTGTTACCTAAATCACGACAGACCTTGATCTATAAATTGTCTCCTATCTTTTATTCTACTAGAGCTGTTTAGGTATTTCCTTTTCTAGAAACCGTGCAAATAACGCCGTTAGAAAGAGATATCACATGAAAATACAACTGAATAAACATCCGGAGAATTACTATCAGCGAATATTGTCAAGGACAGTGTAGACTAGAAACAAATTCAGCCGACGAATACTCTTTCCCTCCCCCGTCACTTGCAATTTGAAAGAAACCGAAGTCGAAGGAACGAACCATAGCTTGGTATAAAGAGAGTCAGGAGAGCCGGTGCACGCAGTCTCGACGGGGTTTAAAAGTTTAAGAAGCTGCAAGTACGTAGCACGGAGTGTGCCTGGCCTGTCTCGACCGCGTAAATGGAAAGACACAAATGTATCCTGGGAGCCGGTAAACAGCCGTGTGGCTCGCAGTCTAGCCCACGGTTCAATATAAATGTAAATTGGAACAGATTCGAGTGCGGCACGGAACACGTTTGCCTTCGAGTCCAAGCTTCCAGTCCAACGCCGCCGCGACATTCTAGGATTCCCTTATCTCTGGCTGGCCTACACACCTGGAATCGACGCAAGGCAAAATTTTATTTCCGTTTTAAACCGTGCTCCTCCCTACCATTGGAAGACGCCGACGATGAATTCGCCCCACGAACGGTTACCGCTGACCAGCCCCGCTTCTAGGCCTCCTAGATTATCTGGCGCGCGTTCAAGAAGTTCCATGATTTTCCCGCCCCGAAACTTCCGGCGAAATTTTTCGGATTTCGCTTCGCCTACCTTCGTGCCAACTCATTGCGCCCGCGTTACAGGGGATTTGGGCTGGGAACTGATTAACCGTACAACAAGCGGCTGTTTCTTTTTTAATGAGTCTATATGTTCTGTGTAATCGCTTCGGGATTAATGCGGAAGCAACGCAAAAGCGCGAATAAAATATTTGTGAAAATTTGTTAGTTCATGGGAAGTTTTATGTACAGAGCGTTTCGCAGTGTGTGGGAAGTAAATATAATTATATACAGAATGTGTGATTCCCTTTTGTGAGAGTAAAATTATTAACAGTGAAACAACTCCTGTAAGCTAATATTGAACGAATCGTAAGGATTGAGATAATGTTAATATTTTAGAAATTAAGAATAGAATGATAAAAATGTAAGCAAAAATGATAAAAAGGGTCCCAGATATATACGCATGTTAGATGTAACTTTGTTTACAGTTATTAAATTATATGTAGTAGTTGTTCATCTATCTGTAGAAAAATTGCATTTGAATATAATTATTTATTCCTTTAGTTTATTTAGCTATAGTAGTTCACAAATTCGTCTGACCTTGCTATACTGAGTATATTAATTTTTCGTATCATTTTTCTATCGTAAATGAACCTCTGCATTATTTCTCATGTAAAACACTTTATATATATATATAAAGTATATATTATATATATATATAATCTCTACTGTTAGTTATTATAACTTGGTAATATCTCTGTGTGCTTTTAACCAACCTCCCCCTATATGAGACCGCAACATCCATATTTTACAAATGGTGTGTCCAAACATTCTAACTTTGGAATACCTTTTAATCAAAATTTATGCGTCAAATAAATAAAAAATTTAATATTGACTTTACGTTAATATACACATGACACACGGTTCTTCTCTTTCTGGTTGATTCAAACGTGGTTCCAATCTTTGAAATCATCATCTTCATAAAATACTCATTTATATCTGAATTTATTAGATATGTACTTCACTGATAGTTACAGCTTCTTTTACTGAATTTTCATTACTTTTATACATACAAATTGCCCGTTAAAACGTATAAAGTTCCAAGACCCTGCATCGTGAAAGTACCTGCAATATGAATCTTCATTGAATGTTCAATAATCCTTTGAAACACCGCTGTAAATACGATAAAAAATGTCTGGTATATTTTATGAAGCATAATCTATGATGGAAACGCATTCGAACGTTCAATAATCTGTTATACGATTCAAAAAATATGCATGTCGCGATCTGTCTTATGCGTCGGAAAGTTAGTTGAAAGTATACTAAGACGATGATCTATAATCGTTAACGAGGGAGACTGTTTTGACCTATTATTAAGTTTCTCTGAATATTCATAAAGTTTCTCGTAAAAAATTTAATTTCTTAAGGAATATTACACGTATGTACGTTCTTGTGCAATGGTTGTGTAAACAGTCACCTTAACTGTTTGATATAGTTATTTCAGTATTTTTATAATTATTCCTCACCTATTATCGAAAGTTAATTGATCAGATTAATCAAAACGTAAATATGTATAACGTTTCTATGTTAAGGAGAGTATTTTACTTGGTTTCTAAAGAGTAAAAGTATATAAAACGTAATAATTTATGTTATATTTGTGTTATATTTTTTCTGTACCTTCTGTACCTCGAAGTACACGATTTAATATTCGGACACCATGATATTTTCTTTTTTCCTGATGATAAACAACAAGTTGCCGAATATGAAATGACGAATTTTTACTTTTACGACCCATTTTTACAAATTCGTTGTCGAACTAGCGAAGTTTACTATGAGATTAATTATTTGAAACTGAACGAACTACGACGCACATTTGATATTTAAAAACAGTCCTATGGGATCGACAAATTTACTATTAGGAAGACGATATAACAGGTGTTCGAATATTTCCTTAACCTCGAAATTCAATCTAATTTCGTTCATAATTTATTATTATATACAACAATAAAAAATAAATAAATTAATTTTATGTATTTATAAAATAGAGTGTATACTTTAACGAATCACGGATTAGAGTACTATGTAAATAAAAATACGAATACTATATCAAGGAACTGTACGTAAGTATATGAATAGATTGAATTCTGAAATTAAACGTGGTTTCCTAAAAATAAATCAATGTGTGCTTTGTTTTAGAATACATTTTAGTAGAAATGGGAAATCTAAGCCTGAAATAAAGCCGTACTCAAAATATCATATTCCTAATATTACTAAACTTCTAAATTCCATTAAATTAATATTTCCCATAAACCGTTTTCAATCTATCGAGTTGCAAATAGATACTCTGATCTGCCAAATACCAGTCGCGAAATTAACGGACTGCTCAATTAAACCAGCGAGTCACGAACACCGACGATGCATCTGATCACCCCGAAAGAACGAGGATCCGCGAAAAAAGACGGACAGGCGGGAAACGAAGAAGAGAAACAGCATAAGTCAGCCAACGAGCGGGTAACTCGCGAGTGTAGCCGTGACGGCTCTATCACGCTAATCTAGACACGATCAGGCACCTCGCGCTAATCTCGTTGCAGCACGAAGCGGCTCACCTTTCCCGTTACCGCTGACGTCCAATCTGAAGTTGTCAGGACCCTTTTGCCCGTCGACAAGTTGACCGAGTCCCCCGGAGAGGTAACCTCCTTCCTCCCGGCCATCGTACGTTCTGTCGGAAAGGTCAACCTCCGAGCCTCTCTTAATTCCTTGGGGCATGGAGTAGGACACCAGGCCATCTGCAAAAAAGTACAGCACATCGATGTAATGTACCTACATACCCTGGATCGCGTCGCGTAGAATACTAGCGAGCGATGCATCACCGCGACGGTACATGGTGATGGGACGGAAACGTTATTCCCGACGATACGTGACAAGATTTCGCACGATGCGCCGGGCACCGGACGAAGCGCGTGTACCGACAATGAAACGCGTAAGAGAAGTTTTCAATTCTGAGAAACCTGTGCCGGTTACCTCGGTTAGGGGAAAGTAGGGTAAATGGGATACTTTTCTTTGAATCGTAATTACAAAGTATCTGGAGTAATAAATGTGTAAAACTTTTTTTGGAAGTCTTCAATAGACCTTTGGTTGTAAGGAAATAAAAGAGTTTTTTATTAAAAATATTTATTAGTTACGAAGGAAAATTTTTATAAAGTAAAATGGGACACTCATATGAAATCATATAGAAATACGAAATCTTTATTTTTACTAAGTCAAAATTGTTAACTGAATATATTTAGTTGTTAGCTGATATAAATAAAGTATAATATATATGATTTTATGAACAAAAGTAGCAATAAATGTGTCATCTTCATTTTCTGCGTTGGTATAATCTAATTAGTTTTTATTCCATCCTCGATTCTAATTTGCTATACGTCAATACGATTACAGGTAACCAATTAAAACTGTAAACAAAGCACATAGCAACGGACTCATGTGCTCTTATGCTGAAGTGTTTCGTTTTGCCCCACGCACTATAACTTAGAAAAGCATTTAAAATTTACAGTTTGACATTGGGTAAAGAAATAACTTAAATGTAAAAAATACAGTTTAAGGAACGTAGAATCCAGTACTGTAGTTATTTTGTTCAAGTTTTTAACCCAAAGGTAAAAGAAATGCTTCAAACATCTATGTAACATCAAAACTATTTCACTGAATGTCTTTGCAATACTTTTAATCGGAAAACAACTCATACACTGCTCTGCAGTCGATCTCAAACTGAATCGAGAAATTATTAGAACCATGTTATGCAATATCAAAATACGTGGTCTTTATCTATGAAAAACATTACTGCCTCATTTTAGCTGACCACTCAGTTTAACCCCACTTTCCCCTACCTGTTGCCTACCAGGGTGTATCTCTGATTGATTTATGATATGTTCACTTCGTCGCCAAAAAAAGACGTGCACGAAAAATGCGCAGAGAAGAATGTGCACACGTACAAAAGCGCACAATGTAAAATGCGCACATGAATAAAAGCGCTTCATATAAACTACGCATAATATATAATCCGTACATATAAGAAATGCGGAATATTTATTGAATTATTACAGAAAATAATTACTTATATATAATAGTTGTTAAGTAAATTATTTATTGCAAATTTGCAATTCTTCTTAAATATAATAATTTGTCTGAAAATTTATTATAAGTATTAACGGCTGATGCTACTGCATCCAGAAGAGTTTTACTTATATAATAAAGATGGGTATAGGTGGGGATAGTTTTTTCATGAGAAGGGGGTGTAGGCGGAGGAACTGACCCCCCTCCCATACCATTGCTTTATAATTCTACAATACATATAATTACGGATCATGGAATTTGCATAGTTTACACAATGCATTTTTCGCTACGTGCACTTTTTCATTCTGCGGTTTTGTACACATGGGCATTTTTCGTTTACTATTTTGCAATGTAACTTTTGTTCTTTCAAGCTGATTATTCGGAAAATCGTTCATCCTAATGGATCTATTTCCTAATTATTTCGAATAAGGGTGTTCTACTGTATCCGAAATCGATGACCCATCGTGTGGAAGATGCAAATTTTTACCCGTATAATTAGCGGTTTGCTGTATAGATCGTGTATGCTCCGCGTTGCTTACGAGAAAAAATTTAGAAGAAATGCGGGTCTGATTAGTTAGTTTTCATCTTTTTTCTCCTTGTTTTCAGTACTAATTTGCTATTCGTTAATACGGTTACTCGTAATCAAGCAAAACTACAAACAAAACACATGGCGGGAAACCCCTATTGCCCTTGTGCCATTCCGAAGCTCTTCTTGTGAGCAACGAGTATTACACGGATCAGTATGAGAATCAGTATGATTGATCAGTAAAAGTGATTGAATTGTGTACGATGTGTATGTTACATTAATTTATTTTAAGAATTTCAGTACATTAGGAGACTTGATATAAATACTAAGCAGTTGGACGGTGTGTTCGTGTATATAACGGTGTACTTATGACATTCTTATTTCGTATGTTATTCCTAACAAACACATATATCTATTAATTCAAATTATAAGTTAACTCAAAATAGAAACGTTTTCTAGCTTTTCGATCATTTAAAATGTTCGTGGCACCTTTAACCATTCGGAACGAAACGGTTAAAGAATAAAAAATTGCGATCCTTTTTGGAAAAAATTGTTTTCTTCGCGAGAAAATACCATTTATCGGAAGTACGGAAAAACACAGTTTCGCCCCGTACGGGTGAGTAAAAAGTTATTTTCATCAATTTTAATCAATGTGAAATTACTCTAATTAAGTTTAAATTATAGACATTTATATTAAGGTTAGGAACATTTAGCAAATTTGTAAATAATTTTAGTTTATTTTAACTAAAACTGTAAAGACTACAGAATGTAAATAATATTTTTCCACACGGATTTTCCAATGTCAAGATATAAAAAGACAAAGGCACTGTTTCACCTCCAAAGTGCTGAAACTTTTCAACTTAGAATTTTTAACTTCGTCTGCATGCAATACAATAATAATCTATATTCCGAGATTCATTTGATAATGTGACGAAGTCCTCCAGAATGCAATGGAACGTTCTGATTGTATTTTAGAGTTCTTATCTTATAAAAAACACGAATACTCCATTTGACCCACGTACCCAATTTTGTACAACTTTCCTCTAGATACTGTTACACGCAACTCTATTCAATGAACGTAAAAATAATGTTTAAAGTTAAATATCTTATTTTTGTTTGAAAAACTTCGTTTCTCAAAGACTAAATTAGTAAGAAACGAATATTTTAAGATTTATATTCAGCTCAGAACCAAGAATAACCAGTCGAATAATCGCGAATGCAAAAAAGGAAAGATTGCACAGGGTTATCGGAAACTAAACAAATTTACAATATATTAAAATATTCTTACTACTGTTGCCGAAATATTATCAGCTCGCCACAAATGGTCCATTTTAAAACAAACATTTATCAAAACCAGTTTTCCATCCATAAGGACACCAATTCCGTAGCACAATAACGTCAAGCAACTGCCACGTGAATGCAAACGTCGTTCACAACAGCGCGCGTCGTGATTTAATCTTTATACATCTTCATCAATGCCACAATCGTGGCCAATAAAAAGGATGCCCGTTCCCGGCGGCCTCCGTTCCCGCGGGACCGACGGAAAATGATTTATTGGACGTTGAAACGATAGCTGGAAGAACTGGTAGACATTACTAAAGACGGGCGCGGAACAAGTTTGAACACTTTCCGGAGGGGGGATGAATATCCCGTATTCATTCGGCCGCGTTTCCGCCGCTTCGCCGTGGAACGTATTGAATTTAATCGGGAGTCGGAGATGAGATGGAAACGCCGCGCCGCCGACGGTATTAAATTAATCGGTTCACGTGAATGCTGGCCGTAAGGAGAGCGGGATATTCACTCGCGAGCGAACAACGGACGCGTTAGAAAACGCGCCAGGCCAATTCACTTCTCTCGGTGCCCCCCTTTTACCGATAACAGTATGAACGATAAATTTTACGCGCCGTAAAAACGCCGTCTCCGTATTTATCATGGTGTTATTCGTCGTGCATAGCACGCGGCAGGCGGAAAAGAGGGTGGGAAAAATGCACGAAGATATATACGCTGGCCGCGTGCGCCGCAACGCTCTGTGTCGCACGCGCAGTAATATCCAGTAATTTCAACTACAATCACCGGGAGACCGGCGTATGGAAAATATTTCGTTCTTGTTACAGTAATTGCTCGCCGCCGGAATTGTATATACAAGGGTCGTTTACGGTTTCGCTGTTATTCACCGTAACGAGCCGCCAAATGAAAATACCGCTCACTCGATGATTCGAAGAATTTTTTTGGGTTCGATAGATACCATGTATCTTTACTGATTTAACAGTTGAAACTAGGATAACGATTTCAGAATTGATTATTTACATTTCTATCCTTTTAGAGTGTCGAATTCGACGAAATATGAACGTTATGAAAGTAATTAGCGCAGCTCGTTGAATAATCGAAACTGGGGCGCTCGTAATGATTTAAGATTCTTTTATATTTAGCACTCTTGTCTGCTTTTTTAATTCAATGATTCGATCGAATCTGAAACAGTTTTAACGTCTTTAAAAATGAAAGAGTCGTTCAAGCATTCGGTCTTCGGTGGAATATTCTGTAAATCAATAAGTAATGAAGATAATAACTGGCAATCAACTAAAAAAAAAGAAAGACGGTCGATTATTTTAGAACAGAATCCTTTCAAATGATTGAAAATAAAATCTGAATCGATTTTATTAAACTACTATTATTATTTTTCTGTTTCAATCGTGTAATATAAAGAAATAGTAATAAAACAGTAATGAATGCAAAGGACTCGTTGAACGATAATGCAAAATTACGCGACACGATCTGATGGTAATGTAGAATACGATAATGGGAAACGAACATCCTCTCTCTAGATATTTCTTACATAAGCGTAAGCGATTACTAACGATGTCGATACCGTCGCAATATCGATACTTATAACCGTGAATTCGAGAATCGGGCATGCTCAGCCTCCGCGCACATTGGCACTCGGCTCGTTCAACCGTTTCCGGGTTAGATTAACGCAAACACACCTGTACACCCTTTGAATTGGGTGCACTAGTAAATCTGCGTTAATGCCGGCTTCCAGTCGGCGAAGTTGCTGCGATTCGATCGGAGTTTAAGAATATGAATGCGGTATGGTACAAACGGAAGATCCACTTAACACGAAGCTTCCTCTTTAAATTGTTACTTTCTGCAGTGAATCTATATTTGTAAAAGAAATTTGGTTTACTTTTGAAATCAAAAGTAGCGATAGCGAGATTTTAGTTGTAAGTTAAGTTAGTTAATGCATTCGCGTCCGGACATGTTTTTACATATTTAATCGTAATAATAACAATGTTTGCAAAAATTATGCTAGAGTGCATTCTGTTGTCACATGCTTAGTTTTCTGACATCAGATGCTAATTTTTGGTAAATATTAATCTTAAATATTTGGTATAAATAATTTGATAAAGAAATTAATTATTAATGTTAACTTACAGTATCGAACAGCATGGACGTGATAATCTGATACGAATTTGAGTATTGAACCGTAACGCGAGAAGTAAAATCCGTGAAATGTAGAACCGGCGGGGTTGGAAGAAGAAACATGAACTTATGGAGCCATAAAAGTGAAGTAAATTTATCAATCGGAAAACGTGAAATGATGAGCCCCCTTCAGGATGATTTCGTTCATTTCACAGATATTGGTTCTCGCATAAATGTCTCTTATCTCAACAGAGGTCGATCCTCGAAATCACTCGCAATAATTTCATCAAATTCGAGACAGTTTCCAGTCAATTCAATTCGGTAATCATAACTGCAATGTACTTCGATGTTATTTCCATATATACTAATTTCGTGTAACAGTTCTTATATCGAGAATAATTTATGTTAACCGTTATGTTAAATACGTTAAAACCTACGTATAATTTATATCTTCCAAAATGACTTTTAAAATGATTAAAAATAATAGACTTGTATTTTCTTATTAACTGTGGTCATGTCTATTTCAAAGATAAAACCTCTTTTCAAAAGTAGCCCTTTTTAGTATATCCTATTATTTTAATAACTTTCTCGACTTTTCACTACGTAATGTATCAAAATTATTAACAAAGAAAACAGAACCTCATTTCTTTTATTATAGGAGCATATCTTCATAGAAAACAATTTTCACAACTCTATTTCATAATATTTGCTTCCAATATAAAATTTAAAATATCGCCACAGAAATATGGAAAAAATTTAGTGACAGTATTTTTAATTGTATTTGGAGTGTGACATTGTTCACTAGTGTAATAAATGTTACGATTCTCACAGCATTCAGATTTTTCCGCCAAAAACTTTGTTTGATTGAAGAAAACGGTAGAACACCATAACGACGATAAAAATACGTGAAAACTATCAGGTCGTCCTTTCCAATACTTAGAGGTGGACAGTTTGCCGCGAATAAACATGAGAACGTGAAACACGGACAAAAGGCGAGGTGGCTTTAAATTTCACTCACCGATCCATGGACAGCCGTAGAGCTCGACCCGTATGCATACCATGCGCATGTGGGAGGTATAAGGGATGAAACGGATTTTTGTTGCCACGATAGCTGGATCGAAGATTTGCTCCTTCTCCGTGTACGGATTATTGTTTCCCGCCAGAAGCTGTAAAAGAAAAAAATTGTCGTTCGTTTTATTAGTGTATTTACAATCGTGCCAATGAAACAAACAAAAAACATTTTGTTACGCGTTCATGAATACTAGGTCATCCCATACGTAATACCGTTTTCTTTTATGTTAAGTTTTAGTGTAAAATATTAATGCACATGTTTTACTTTAATCGTCGACTTATTTACCATCATTGTGTGACCTTTTCCTATTCTTCAATTAATTTTTCAATGGCATCTTCGAAAATAGTATTTCAATATTTCATATAAATAGTATTACAATATTTAATATAAAAATATTTTTAGTTTCCCTGAATGTTGGGATTTGGTTTGAGGATAATATGCATTCTTGTTATTGCCAATCATAAGGGAAACGTCGTGATATTATTGTGGTGGAGGTTCAAGATATTAACTGGTGCAAAATGAACCACTTATTCAAAGAATTTAAACTGTGGCATGTATCATTTCGCACATATTAGGGATTCAATTGATGCAATTTGCAACAGTCTAGCATAATGTGTGTTACATTTCAATCTCACATGACGTTGGATGTTTAGATAGAGAATATTTCTATATGGTGGAACATTTAATACTATGAAAGAGGATAATTTTATAGTATAACGGTAGAACAGACACATGGAGTTAGTAATTACAGGCATCCAAGAATGAAGATGTAATATAACTCAAACCAAATAAGATATAAAACAAGTCGTGACACTCTTCTAAAAGTTGAGTTATTACTAGTCAAGATAGCAAGACATTTCCTTCTATAAATCCCTGCGTTTCACGTTAATTATTGAAGAATAAAGACTTTAAGGGAGAGCGTGGTGTGCGTATTACTTAACAACACATATATATTACAAAATAACCTTGAACTCAATTGATCTGTTTATCTTCGAGTAATATTTGCTTTTTACAATATAATAAGACATCATTTCAAACTTCCAGTTCGTATTGTACAAAGCTGCTGAAAAGTTCGAAAAACATTTCGTGGAAAGTATCATTCCATTGTAATGGTTATAGTTCTCCAAAGGGATGGCTGCAATTGTAATTTAATGTAAAAGTTACAAATATAAAGCATCTTTTCTGTATAATATGATAATAAAAGTCCGATTACCATTCAAATATACGATTGTCTCCAAACGATAAAACTTTATATATAGGTATTTTTCTTTAAATATACAGACTACGGACCAATAATCGAAAATATGACTAAATTTTATCCAACATGAACAGTTACTGTAAAATATTAAGAAAAAAAATTAATTTATAGAAGACAGCTTCATCAAAATATGGAAATGTTTTTTGAACAATGTATTGCAACATAGGACAGTAATAAAGGTAATAAACGAGACGCGTCAGAATGTTGTTAAAATACCATTTCATTTATATGAACTTATTGAAAGTTAAGCTATAAAGTAGAGATTAACTAAGTTCCTACTTCACTTGTGAATTTTCTGCAATTTACTGCAATTTTAAATTTTAGAATTTTAGAAATGAGTTATGAGGACAATAATTCAGTGAAGCTTGATGAATAAATTTATTCATTTACATGGATAAATTAATTTATTTATTTATATTATTTTGTATACTATTCAATATAATATTATACATAAAAAGTGTTCATATAAGTGGATTACTGCTTAACATTAATTTAGATAATAAGAGCTCACCTATCATGCACTTATTTATGTACTTATGAAAACTTCGTTTGAATAAATGAACTTCTATTTTTAGACAGAAAAATGAAATATAATTTGGTGATATAATATTTGTGTGGTGTGTGGCTGTGTTGGCGACCAATATATTTTATCTCGCATTTTATTTTTCTTCGTATTAAATATTAGCGTGATAACAATCGACACTGACAGTCAATCGAAATCAAGATCCCAAAATATTCGAACGATTCGCCCCTTTAATTGAATCACACCTGTGTTTTTAAACCCAAGTTTTTCTATGCTAATGCTTACCTAAAACTACTTATTTTCACTCACTGAATATTTAACTGGTGTATACTTTTGTATATATCTTTTGTACACATTGCATTCAAGTGCCTTCATTTTAAAACCAATTGTTTGACTGGTTACGGTAGGAATAGGTATCTATAAAGTATCGGTACGTTTAGTGCTAATAAATGAAAAACAATTGTGGCATTATAAGATGCTTCAAGAATACTGAAAGTTCTTGCTTTGTTAGAAATTGTCAAATAAGCTGAGGTACAAAATTCTAATTCCGAGACCTAAAAGTACCCATCAATAGCCATTCGACTGTTAAAATATAATTAATTATTTGCATTTCTCCCTTTTCGACTATATACTGCATCCCCAAGCAATTCGAAGCAACCAGCAACATATGAAAAAGAGAAACGACGTCGGATGACGGAACCAGAGGCAACATCGGTCACGCAGACGGCGGTTTCGTTAAGCCCGGCCGCAGACGGAGCATCGGGTGGTCATTGGATCGTGTTTACAGCGTTAAGAACGAATCTCACGGCCCTCGAGCACCATTTTCCGGATCCGATTAGTAAACAACAGCTCGGCGAGGTCCTCTTCTAAATGTAAATGCCAGCGTTAAATCTGGATGGAAACGGCGGTCGTCGTTCGTTTCCTGTACGGTGGCCTCCGTCTGTCTCTTCATCCGATCGATGCCCACAGAATAGAACCGCATCGTTGCCGCGCGAAGGATATGGGGGTTCCGGCTGAAATATGAACGCCGAGGTCGAGAATCAAACCTCGAACGACGAATCCGAGTCCAAAACGAACCGGCTCTCCCGTAACACACTAACGTGCACGCTGGATTCCACGCGCCCGCTCGTGAAGAGCAAATGCATACAAACGTCGACAAGTACTGCGGCCGCGATGATCGGGCTCGGTTGGTTTCGTTTGCGTTTCTGTGGGATTAGAATTTCTAACCGAGTATCTGTTATTTAATCGAAAAAATATATCAAACGCGTAACACGACGCCTTCGACCGCTTCACCCTGTGAAAACTCGACACGCGCGGTTAACATGTGTATTGCCGACATATTTAGATGGGTGTATCACTCGTAGTGAAGACTATTTGGTCATGCATTTACCCTTTAGATGACCATTTATTTACACTGAAACGACCCTGCTTAAGGTATTTCATTCTGTCGCAAATTTGTGCACAACTGGTTTAAAGAGAACTAGAGCTTTACAGGTTAAGTTGAATTTTTATTTATGAAGATAAGAAAATATGAATGAAATTTTGATTATGTTGCGACAGATTTATGAAATAGTTTGTAAAATTAAGTTTCACGTGGAGAGTCAAACTGCTAAGTATTAATATAATCAATTAGTATAGTAAGAAACGTGGATCGATTGGTCCATTCATATTGAGCACTGAATTTCCTTGTTAGGGTCTCAATGGACATTCTGTCTTATAGTAAAATTTCCATTTACCTAAAGTTTTACAATGAAATACAACATTAAATTTTAGACACACTGTTAAGTATACCTATAGTAAGTCGTATATAAATTCCGTTGTACAGTGTAATTGTTGTTCTAGGAATTGCTTGATTATATTTCGCATAACAAATTGCCTTAAAAACGATAAGACCTTATTAATAATAACGACGAATGTATATTAGAGTAAAGTCAGTTACAGTATATTTAATTGGCGAATAAAGCTTTTATTCGTTATAAAACGTGGAATGTATTTACGAAGCAATAATAAATAAAAAATAAATTAATAAATAGGCAAACGTATAAATATAGCAACGATTATTATTGGATTAACCTCTCAGGGACGATGCCATATTCTCGGATTCTTTTAATTTTGTGTCAAATCTTTTTTATCCGTTACAAAAGTTATCACAATTTATTAATAATTCAAACATTTTGATATTTTGTATGGCTATTTTTATTTCTAGAAAGTGAAAAAAAGTGATAATGAAATGTACCTATATCCTTTTTTTGAAGCGGAAGTAAAGACGCTGGAAGTAGTGTCAGAGTCAGTAACATATATCAACGTCGTCCCTGAAGGGTTGTTGTAACTTACGAAATGGAAGTTAACTGAATTCCATTTGATCGACGTTCTGAGACCTGGATTTTCGGATAACGGAATTTCTTCGTTCAGTACATGTTAATACATTATTAGCAGGCTAAATGAGGCATGTCTTTAGATATTTTCATAATTCATTCATAAAATGGTAAATTTTAATTAAATTAAATTAATTAAATTAATTTTCTTCTATGTGAGAATGAACAATACTTGCAATGAAAGCTCCTGTTATTGGTTAATACAGAAGAAAAGTACAAGGAAATCAAACAAAAATAAAATTGCTTGACCGTCTTTTTTCTTTTTAGAAGACTAACCGGGTAACGAATAAAATTTAAATTGGTTTCTTTAAAGTCTTATTGTTATTGTTTCTGTATAGAGATGGGGAACAAATATTTTTATAACATGCATTGAATTTTCTATTACGTTCGACTTTGTATTGACAGATCGCATACGTGTGATTTTATTCAGAAGTAGGCGCAAAAATATGCTTTAAATTGTTTAAATTCATAAAAATTTTGAAAAATGGAGATGTAGAAAAATATTTCTGGTGATACTTACAAGATATCAAAGCAAAGTGACCATGTCTTTGACTTTGCTGTAAGAGATTAAAGTGTATCATCCTACATATAAGAACAATGCAAACTTCCACTTAAAACAAATATTAATCATCCAGAACATTTACATAGTATCAAAGAAAATAAAATGAAAATGCGATTCAGTGTTTCATGACAAATACTTCAATTACTTTACTTATTCTTATTTTGAAACACAGAAACATTCCTAAATTATACATTTTTCTACATTTGTCTATAGTTTTATAGATACAAAATAAGTAAATAATTAAAGGCGAGTACACAATTTTATTGCCACGCTAATCTTGATAACTAAATAAATAAAGAGCAATATTCAGATTAAGTTCTTTAACATTGTGATCACAAGAATACATTTTTCGTTCCATTAAAGTCCTTTTCTGCGA